GTATTGCTAGTGAAGGGATGATAGCAGAGATTTCCGAAGAACATTTCCCGTGGAAGTATCGATAAAAAAGTGAAAGGTCGCCGACCTTTCTACGGTGTTTCAATGATGTCAAAGAGTGAGTGAGTGTGGCGTCACCCACCAGGCGAATTGCTCTTCTCTGGATGGAATCTAAGAGCATCAGCGTATGTTTTGGTGCTGAACCCCATATGTGGGAACAGTATTCTAGAACAGGCCGTATCTGCGCTTTGTAGATCATGAGAAGCTGTTGAGGTGTAAAGTAGTTTTTCGCACGGAACACGAATCCGAGTTTTTGTGGAGCAGCTTTTGCGATGGATCTGACATGATTATCCCATGAAAGAGTGTTGCTGATAGAAATACCGAGCATAGATATGGTGGGCTTGGTGGGGATGGTGGAGCCAGACATTACAATATCGGGCATACTGAGTTCCGCCTTTCTAGAGAAAAGGCAGGCTTGAGTTTTGGTGGCGTTGAATTCAACTAGGTTGTTTGTTCCCCGCAGGCTGTGATTTCAGCAAGATCTTCATTGACAGCATTGACCTGCCTGCGCCGTGAGTTCTTAGTTTCCTGGGAAGAAATGGGAATTCTGGAAGAGAACGCAGTATGGAGGGTACTATCATCTGCAAAGCTGTGGATGGGGCAAGTTGTTACTCTCAACAGATCATTGATATGAAGCAGGAATAATGTTGGTGCCAAAATTTATCCTTGTGGAACTCCGGAATTGATGCCAATGGTATCAGACGATATGATATATTATACAAAAGATGATTTCTAATATATATGGATCCCATGATATTAGCGAAATTTCTCTCTATTAATAATATGTTCAAATGAAAAACTGAGATTCTATTATTTATAACCTATTCTGAAGAATTTTGAGTTTTTTTTTCGAAGGAATGTATTTCAGCTTCTTGTTGAGTACTAAGTACTAGAAGTTATTGCATATTTTTCTCAAGGATTCTTTTGATTTCTGAACCCTTTACATATCCTTCCTAATGCTGAAGCTTTCATGCAATGTATTATTATAGATTTCAAAGGAGTATATCTAGTCATCTAGTTTGTGTTTTCCATAACCTCCTGAAACGAACAATGTTTCGATATATCAGGTCCATTTATATATATCTATGATTTGATCTACCTACCTTTGTCCCTGTATCTATGATTTTATTCACTCTTACGTTTTCTTTTTTTTTATTCCTCAGGAAAATATTATCAACATATAGGTACGTATTGTCATGTTCTAATTTTGTTGCGAGTTCTACTTGTTATCATTTGTGATTTCTAAACTCAGACATAATTCCTGATGCTGAATCTACTGAAAGTTCAAGCCTGCATACATAGATTTCGAAGAAGCCAAAATATCTTGGAGTGAAATATATCTGATCTGATGATATCATCAAGTTTGTGTTATCAATAACCTCCTGAAACGAATGATGCATCAATATATGGATTCTGTTATCCATAAATTAAGTAATTATTAGAATTAACTTGAACTCTTTATTTCAATTATTAATGACAATTCACATCAATCATCATCTGACATAATTCCCAGAATATATAATGAGGGTTCTGCCACATTACTCTACTTCATTTCGATGACCGAATGGCAGCCTCAAATATTCGTATAGACCGAAAGGGGTGATGATGGCGGTTTTTTCCACGTCTTCTGGAGCCATAGGAATCTGGTGAAATGCTTTCACCAGATCAATTTTCGAAAAAATCTTTTTGTCTGATAGATTAAAGGTGAAATCTCTGATATTTGGAAGAGGATATCTGTCAGGAAGTGTTTTAGCGTTCAACAATCTGTAGTCACCACAAGGACGCCAGTCTCCATTTGGTTTCCGAACCAAATGAAGTGGGCTAGCCCATGGACTTTTCGAAGGTCTAATAATACCTTGCTCTAAAAGATACTCAAATTCCTTCTTAGTAGCTTCTAGTTTTTCGGGATTAAGTCTCCGAACTTCACAATGGATTGGCGGACACGTTGTTATTATTTGGTGATATACTTTAGGATTTTCACTGGATGGTTTCAATGAAGTTCTGGTTAAATTTGGGAAATCTGCCAAAATATTATGAAATTGTGATTTGCAGTCAATTGTCTTGATTTGTGAAGTCCTAGTTACTTCCTGAACAATACATTGATTGGAAATATTCGTTCGTCCATCTATAATCAAGCCGTTTTTAATATCCACTAAAATGCCAAAATGTTTCAAAAAGTCAGCTCCGATGATTGCTTGATCAATATCAGCAGTAACAAATGACCATAAGAAATTTCTCCGAAGTCCCAATGATGTTGATAAAATCTGTTCACCATAAGATTTTTGTTCCATTTGCTGCATAGACTGGTCTATCCGATGGACTGGAACAGTTTTTAGACGTTTTTGGAATCACTGAAATGTCGCTACCAGTATCGATTAAAAAATTGGTCTTAGAAGGTTGATCGTATATAAAGATGCGGCCAGATCCCCTGCCACTATCGCCTGCCGCTAACAGCGAAGGGCCAGTTAGTTTTTTGATAAATCATCTTCCTTATATTGGCAAGGCTTGGTACATTTATAAGCCTTCTCTCTGAAATTCCGGTGATAGAAACATATTCCACTTTGTTGATTACCACTGAATCTTGTTCGTGACCTGGATCGACTGTTTCTGGATGATTGTCCTCTGTCGTAAGTTCTGGATCTGAGATTCAATGTTTCATCTAACTTCTTAATCAACTCATCAAGTTTATCTTCTCTGCCATGGGAATTTTCAGGTTTTTTAAGGGAGCAAACTTGATTGAAATTCTCAGCACCCTTGAGCATTCCATCTGCCATATTGACTAACTCTTCTTCAGAAAGTTTTTCATGAAACGCACGAATAATCTGCTCTACAGTAGGTGGTAATTTCTTGAGCCAATTCAGAATGATATAGTTCTTTGACATTTGACCAGATGCTAGTTCCGTCATTTCTCTGAATAATTGACTAGGTTTCTTATCGCCTAACTCACATTCTCCAAATAGTTTCATCATCTTTTGTTCGTCAGAAACTTGGTAATTCTTGATCAATTGGGATTTTAACAACAGATAAGCTTTGGGTTCATTTTCCATTGTGAAAATATTTGAGTTTTCTTTTGCCAAACCGCAATCCAGAACTGAAATGATTTTTCCCAATTTGATTTTGTCATTAGAAATTCCATGAACTTTAAATAGGTTTTCTATCGCATGAAACCACAATGTAGGTTCATTTTTCCAAAAACAAGGCAGACTAATCGATTTAGATCTATTATATTGTTGATCTAGGTCGGAGTCTCCAGTATTTTTCGTTCGATTCTGAGTTCCATTAGTTAAAATTTGGTTACTTTCAGAACTTATTACTGATTCTGAGTTATTAGAATGCTGCTTAGTTTTGTTCTCTAGTTGTTTCTTGAGATCTTCATAGTTCTTGTTGATTTCATCAATTTTCTCAATGAGGTGTGAACACAGATTCTCCAGTCTTGTGATCTTATTGAGTAATGAAGAATTATTATCAACTGACGATTGGTTGTCAATTCCATCTAATATATTTGTGAAATCGTAATTTCCTGAACACTCAGGTATCTTAACTTGAATCATGCTCTTCAAAATATCGACCAAATCCTCTTCTGCTAAGGAATCTCCTACGTTCATATCAAAATGTTCCAGGATTTTATGAATTTCTGATCTGTTCAAATTTTCTAAAAGTTTTACCATTTTCGTTATCTCTGGATGAGACGTCGGGGTCACCAATTATGGATTCTGTTATCCACAAATTAAGTAATTATTAGAATTAACTTGAACTCTTTATTTCAATTATTAATGACAATTCACATCAATCATCATCTGACATAATTCCCAAAATATATAATGAGGGTTCTGCCACAAATATTTCATGTCTAGTAATTTGAATGATCTGATTAATACTCACCTTGGTTTCTTAATTTCTGAAATAACTGTCATCATCAACAGATCATGCTACTTGTTATTATTATTTTGTAATTTTGTTGCAAGTTGTTCTCGTTATCATTTTGTAAAATAGCAATTTGATGATTGCTTGATGAATGTAATGTAATCAAGAAATACTTTGATCACATATATTTTTCGAATTTTCGATCAATTCATGAGATATAACCCCAATTCTAGTTTTTCTTCTTTTCCTTCTGGCTTGGATGACACGTTATCCCATGGAATGTCATCAGAAGACATTCATAGGCACGAAATCCTCCACAAATTCATGCTGTCACTGAAAGTACTTATCTCATACCCCTGATTCCCCTGATAATGTTCTCAGGTTGTAGAAAATAGATAGTCCCCTCCACAGGCCTTTGGCGACTCATTGAGCATGACCTTTTAGGTTCCACAGGATGAAGTGAACCAAAATAACGACTAATAATAAGGAGACATTCTCTGTCTGATAATTTCTAAAATCAATTTCTTATCTTAGCGAGGACAAATAATTGTTCTCGTGTACTTCCCACTCTACACACTGCCCACTCTGTGATATTTCGATCTATGTATGAACACAAGTTTAGTGAGTTCGTGAAATTCAATTTGAATAATCTCTGCTTATTTAGCATCTTGTTTCCAGGACTGCTGGGGTCAGTTATGTAACGAGACTTTCGACATCCCCTCTGATCGCATAGGTCGCTTTGGAATACACATAACTTCGTTGGAGATATATGTAAATCGAAAACACGTTTCGGTGATTCATCACGAAATTGTTTACGGGTATTTCACTCAAACGTCCCAAAGCGTATTACTGTGAAACCGAGGGAGAAGTCGAGAAATTGTTTTATAGAAGGCGTATGTTGGCTGTACTCTAATTTCGATTACTGGAATTGTGCCGACTCATACAGTAGTTGGAAAATAGCGAAGCTCGATAAACAAACTCTGCCGACTTGTGCTTTCAACTGTAATGCATTGTTGTTGTATAATGATCACATTGAATTGTTTATTGTTATTTGACTCCCTGATTTTTATAGAAGGGGCATGTTGTATAATGATCACACTATATTCAACACGACACTACCAGTTTCTAGAAGGATATTGAAGCCAAATTTTGAGACTAACGGGAACTTGATAATTTTGAAGAATAATCAAACTTTATCTTCATCGTACTCTAATGAAAATGCTCAACGATTACCACCTTTACAACATGATCAACCAGTGATGATGCAGAAAAGAATTCGAAATTGGATACCTGGAAGGATTATAAGTCCTCATCGCCAACCTGAAAGCTATCTCGTTGAAACTAATGATGGCGGAACATATAGAAGGAATCGAATAAATTTGAAACCAGTCCCAACAAATAAAACTGATAATCGAACTCAAACCGTCCCAATCTCTCCCAAACGATGCGGGTTAGCTCACACCTCCAAAGAGTCTGAATACTTCGATAACTATCATTCAAGTTCATCATCCTCAGAAGATTTTCCAACAACCATTCCCGATGTACCGGAAATTACAAGAGGCAGTCCGAGGAAGAATAGAAGCACCGGGGGCGGCAGAGAACACTCAGAAGAAGCAGCATTGATGCCGAGAAACGGATCCGCAGAAAAAAACGAGATGATACAAGGAAGATAGAATGTTCGGATGTCTTCTAGAGGTCGAATACTGAAGATACCTTCTACCTTGAGAGACTTCGTGCACTGATCCAATGAATAGTTGTCTTCAAGATGGATGAGTTTTTGTGTCATTTGATTGTTATTTGACTCCTCCTCGATTTTTATAGAAGGCGCATGTTGTATAATGATCACAATGAATTGTTTATTGTTATTTGACTCCCTGATTTTTATAGAAGGGGCATGTTGTATAATGATCACACTATATAGAATACTATGGAATATGATTATAGTGTGCTGAATGGTAGTCATGGTAAATGAGATGTGACGGACTGAATGAAATAAATATAGAAAACTGTCTGACTGAATTATCTATTTGAATATATAATAATTGTGAAATCGTTAATAACTTCAAGTACCACTACCTTCGGTCTCCGGTGAACCTCATGGAGGGCAGTGCGCGATATTGTCACGAATAGGGTTATTTTCGTGAATTTCATTTAAAGTGGCTACGTTCAGCGGCAGGTCTGGACTAGAGTCACTGGATGGTATTAGTTTGATAAGAGTTCGGACACAGCTGAACTTTTGTCCTTTTCTATTTTTTATAATATAATGGTTTAAGTGAATAAAAGAATAAGACATATATTCGGCTCTTTGTCTCTTCAATTTCCCTAGTAGCGCCTGATTGTCAAATACGATTTCAGAGGTTATATTTTCTGTCAAATCAATCATAGCCGTAGATGGATAATGGGTATAGGGTACTAACACCCACTTCAATTTATAGTGATACACTTCTAGCAGAACAACTGTTATATAAATGGAAAGAATGCATGTAACAACATATTAATATTAGAAAATATACACATATGGATGAACTTATAGCTATAATTCCTTATTGTATGTGAAACTGTACTCCAGTGATAAGTATAAAACATGAAGTTATTTATATTAAATTGAAGAGGTAGGTATTCTCAATATACAGGAAGTAACATAGGTACTTTCAAGTGAAGTATTCCTGAGACAATTATAGGAAATAAAAATAAGCTTGTGTCCGGAATTGCTTCATTTCGGAGATACTGGGTGTTGGAATACACAGAACAAATCATTTTTCGATAAACATTTTATAGGAAAAAAGTAGTTTATTTTGACTAGACCTACCAAATACTTGGTTTTGTAAAGTTCTCAGCAACTTCACTTAGCGCCCTAAGAGCTGAGTAACATGGATCGATATAAAAAATATCTCCAAAACGATAACCTCTAGCGTTATTAAGGCACTTATAAATAATTCCCTTGATTCATAAATAACTATTCACTTTTCACTGTTGAATTTTAAATTTGGTCGGCACCAAAAACGCCATTCAATAATATTTCACTTTGTAGTTTACTTGCTTTTCTTAGTTTCGTTTTCAAATTCTCAATTTCATTATGTAATTTTGCGATAATTTCCTCTTTCGCCATGATTATTTTGTTTTGTATTTTCTGTGATAATAATAATGGAATTTTGTTCTTGAAATCGTCTGCTTTGTAAATTGATGAAACAGCAGATTCTCTCAAGCAGATTTTGAAATCATCTGTTTGAAAATGGTCCTAAAATATAGTTTCATTCTAATCAGATGCTGTTATAGGAAGTGACTTTTAATGAGTACCTTACAAATTTCGCTCGTCTTCAAATTGATTTCGCACCCAGGCCATTTTATAACTTCCATAAGCGAATGGTTGATATTCGTTTCGGAAAATTGAATGAATGATATTAGTTTTTTTCAGAATTGGCACAATTTATTACACAGCAAGTGATTTCCATAGCTGATTTCATCTCGAATGTATAATTATGAAATTTAATTTCAATTCTGACGTTTATAAAATGTATTGTCAAATTCAAACAGTTTTGAATGAAAAAGCGCGGGACGACTATGGTACTCTTGTCACAATGCAAGGTGTGTAACTTAATAAATCTAAACATTCAAAAACCCTGACCCTCGCCCTGACCGTTGTCATTTCTGTGTCCGAACTCTTATCAAACTAATAACATCCAGTGACTCTAGTCTGGACCACCGTAGTCGGACCACAACAAGCATTATGAGTTCTGAACGACATCGGTCCATCGATTTGTATCTGTATAAATCTGTATAATCTGTATATAGTATCTTTCAAAGTTGTCATGAGAACGCCCATTTGACATTTGATGTGATTTGAGATTTTAGTGGCTAGAGTGATTTTAGAATGACGGTGCTTGTTAAAATCAATTCGGTCGACATTCTCAAATATATTGATAATATATATCGGCCGATGATGGATGATGAACAGCTATGTCAGCCTGGAAATGTTATTTGTGTTAAGTGAAAAGTATACAGAAACAGAAACTTGAGATCATTGGGCAGGTTCTACAAATTTCTGCTGCTCTGAAATTGAATCCTTCCAGCAAACAATTGGACATGATTGTGTTTGTTCTTGTGAAGCTGGCGATGTATGGAGTATAGCCTACAACTATAGCTTTTACCAATAAAGACAAGGATTGAAGAAACTGTCGTACTTTCCTACAATACGAATGATGCTGTTGATGGAAAGAAATTTGAACACTTGGTGAATTGTGGGTCTGATGATAAAATTTCCAGCTTTCATTAGTAATTGATATTAATTGTTTTCCAGCTAACCCATTATCTACCCCACATACATTTTCACAACGGAGCAGGAAGAACATTTGAGAAGATTTCATTACTATCAAGAATCTGAAGTGCAAAATGATATTCATTGTGTAAACTGTATTCCTCTGCAACAGACTCCTTTTCACAACAACATCGATCTAGATGAAGAATTTGCAAATATTTATGATATATGATGATATTAAGAATGAATGAAATGAAGTTTCAAATTATTCATAGTGTTGATATCATATATTTCGGATTATGTTGAAAAAAAAAACAGAATGTAATAGTTGTATTATTTATCATTACTGAACAAGTATGAAAATTCATTGGCATGTTCACAACAATAGAGATCAGTCCTGGTGGAAGTTTCATCAAAACTGGTGAGGGAGGTCTATAGGTAGCACCTATGATATTATCAGATTCATTCCTGTTACTGGGGATAAGTTAGTTGATATAGATTGGAGAATGATTGAAGACATTTTTATATTTCGTTCCAAAATGACCACTCTTAGTTTTTTTCAGATCCATTAATCACAAGTTTTACATTTTGGTACAATGTATAATCAAAGAATTCTGTGAGGGTTTTACATATTATGCTTCACAAAAAATATGGAATCGATTTCCCCTGAAAGTAAAGAACATTATATAAAACACTGAATGATGAAAAAATAAAAGAAATAACCTTTATAATCTGTTTCTAAGAAATATCTGCTACAGACAGACGTACATTGGGAATGGGCTACCATTTTTTGATATGTTTCTGCTACATTTTGTATAATTCTGCATCTGGTTGGAAAGCTGTGAATCGATGCTCTGTGTATCTTCATACTGTTTACACTGCGGCACAATGCATTATCTCTTGAACTTGCTGGCCATCATGTTATCTCACCCGCGAAGAAATACATTCAAATTTATTTGCATGTCATAAATTCATGTCAAATATAACTGACGTTTACTGACGGAAACAATGGACTGAACGATTTAGACTATTTAGACCATGCTGGTCCTGATTTTAAATGAGACTACGTGGACCACGGTCTGGTCCATAGTCTGACTACGGTCTGAGACGAATTGACCATGGTCCGAACTGCCGCTGAACGTAGCCAATACAAATGGTTTGAGGTCATTGAACGGTGACTTCTTTGTTTATTGATTCCAAAATTTTCAAATCTTGAACGAACTTTTTTTCATAGTAGTTGAACATAAACAGGCGTGACATTGACTTCACCGAACCTGGACTATCGACATGATTTCCTTACTGTCACGTTTCCGAAACTATCGAATTCGACAATTCGACTACCAGTTCGACTGCGAGTTCGAATGCGAGTTGGACTGCCAGTTTGACTGACAGTTCGAGTTCCAGTCCTGTTTTTTGAGTACGAGTCAGGAAAGTTTAAGCTCTATCGAAGTTTGAAAACTTACCACTGTGCCCGAATCTTCGGAGTTTGGGCAGAACAGAAGATGCCCTTCCTCAGGCTCCCATAGAAATACCAGTTTTGAACATATAGGGTAAATAAAGTTTTGATTTCTTTGTTATTTTTAGTCAAGAATAAATGTGTGTGTATGTTTTGTTTGAGAACCTCCTGAGTATTATTTATCATTATCACTTCTGAATTTCATTCTCTAATGGATCTACAACACAACTTAGGCAACCCCCGCCTTCTTGCCTACATTTTGTGACAATATAGCACTTTGGTAATGTTTCTGTTTTGGTCTCCTCATTTGCATCATTCTTTTGTCCATATTTTCAGATTTGCTACTTAATCAATCATTATTGGAATTCTCTTCTCCTCCCCACATTGTTCCCCATTGTCATTTCTGTTAAAATTATTTCTAACTGTACTGCCACTAGCTGATTTCACCTTCATCCCAGTGCTTAATTTGCCTAAGTTCTGTTACAAAAGCCTCATCATTGATTAGGATACCAATATCAACGTTAATATCCCTATTCATTTTCGGACCAAAGAACATCAAATTAGATTTTGAAGTATTTATCAGGAGACAGTGATCAGATGCGAGCTTGACGAAAGCATTCAGGTCTGCATCGATCAGAGTGGATGCAACTTCAGATTCGTCTAGTGGAAATTTTATATAAATTTGCGTGTCATCCGCATAGAGATGAACAGAAGAGTTATGAAAAGATTGAACTAAACCTGAGGTATAAGATGAAATTTCAAACTTTTTTCCCGTCACAGTAAATAAAATATTTTTGCATTTTCACGTAGAGAAAAATTTATTAAACGCAGGAAAATTCTGGGGCGAATCATCTGATTTGTCCTACTACACATATATTGAAATTATACTCAGTTTCTCATTTTATAGAAACGAGGAGATAAAATCCCAGATAATAAAGTAAAATGAAAGTACCACCTCCTCG